CAGACATCAGCTCTGGCACATCTCAACTATCCCTTTGTCTAGGCTGTGTTACCCCTCAAGCAAGTCAACTTGATGTGCGGGGGCAGTATTGAGCCTTTTACAGACGCTCCAAACAGTTCGTCTTCAGCAGAAACGTGCCCCAAAAGTACCCCGATCTGTCTTCGTTTAATGCATAGGTCTGAACAACGAAAAGGCATCGAAATTCCACCCAGACCTTAGAATTGGAAAGCTATATTCTTGATAACCGCAAAAATCCGAGTATACTCGGAGTATTGCAAGTCTATCGTGTATGTCATGCTTTAGGGGCGTGGTCTATAGCATGGGTCATGCTGTGAGGTCAGCCTTATGTGTCATGCTGTGGGAGCATAGTCTGTCGTATGTGTCATGCTTTAGGGGCGTTGTCTATAGCAGGGGTCATGCTGTTGGGTCTGCCTTAAGTGTCATGCTATGGGAGCATGGTCTGTCGTATGTGTCCTGCTTTAGGGGCGTGGTCTATAGCATGGGTCATGCTGTGGGGTCAGCCTTAAGTGTCATGCTATGGGAGCATGGTCTGTCGTATGTGTCCTGCTTTAGGGGCGTGGTCTATAGCATGGGTCATGCTGTGGGGTCAGCCTTAAGTGTCATGCTATGGGAGCATGGTCTATCTTGTGTGTCCTGCTTTAGGGGCGTGGTCTATAGCATGGGTCATGCTGTGGGGTCTGCCTTATGGGTCATGGTGTGGGAGCATGGTCTATCTTGTGTGTCCTGCTTTAGGGGCGTGGTCTATATCATGGGTCATGCTGCGAGGTCTGCCTTATGGGTCATGGTGTGGGAGCATGGTCTATCTTGTGTGTCATGCTTTAGGTACGTGGTCTATAGCATGGGTCATGCTGTGGGGTCTGCCTTATGGGTCATGCTGTGGGAGCATGGTCTACCGTTCGTGTCATGCTTTAGGGGCGTGGTCTATAGCATGGGTCATGATGTGGGGTGTGCCTTATGGGTCATCACAGAAGCAGTGAGAGCATGGTTGATGACATGTGTCTCTAATGAGGACGTGGTCTAACATATTCATCATCCAGTAAGGGCGTAGTCGAGGTCTTTGTTACGATCATCTTCTTGTAAATACATCTTATGTCCGAGACTGATAATTATTTTCTTCCAGGATGTTCTTCGACTTAAAGTTTAAGAAAAATATAAATCGAAAACGTTATCGGCAAATTGGATTGTCCTTATTTTATGTAATATTTTTGCGTTTCATGGAGTAAGCCAGATACTTGTACATCTATTTTAGCATTTTGTATGAAGAACTTGTGATTTTATTCTCCCTAGATATGAATAAAGAAATTTGAAAAAGACTTGCCGCCGTAAAAACGGAAACTGCGGCAAAATGAAAACAGATATAGTTTCGGGTTACTTTTTCACATTTCCTTTGTCAAACGTGTTCAGTGTTGTGACTGAATTTAGTCAAGCATACCAAATATTCGGATTGGTCTGACACCCCGTTTCGGTTACACTTTCTCCGACTGACTAACTAATCGGATTGGTCTGTAACCCCCGACTCTACTCACCAGAAATGGGCTCCACACACTGTACCCATGTTGGGAATCGAACCCTTGTCCTCGGCGTGATGAGCGAACAGCTGTAACCGCCAGGCTACCCTACCGCCCCAGTGCCGGTGTTGAAGGAAGGCTAAACACCCCCCTAAGTATACACACATGCGAACTGACTAGCTCTGGTTTACGTTCAGAGTTAAGCGTGTACATCCATGTACCATAATGAGCTTTATACATTACCGGGAAAGAGAAAGTAAACACTTGAAAATATAATCTTACAAGAAATTACAAACATTATCGACACGTTATTTGACAGAAAACATTCGCCGAAACACTGCAAACTCACTGTCTACAAGAAGAAAATGATACGCACATCCAATGCACCAGTAGTGAATAAAATTTTGTTTGTTTCATTTTGGACAGCAAACATGGGTGTACACTTTCTTTTGCTCTATTGTTCATACAGTGGTTCATTCAGAACATTAACCTTTTCAATTTAATTCGAGGTGAATATGACTTCAGTGACACGTACAGTGGCACGATGAACAAGTGTATTACATGTACTCACATAAAACATCACTCGGAGGTAAATGATGACAAAATCTTCTAATGCGGAAAGCCGCTATGACTCTTATGTATCCTCGCCATGTTTAGGGGTGAAATGAATCCTGCTGTGCAAATTGTACATGTATATGTGGAAGAATTGGTATGATTTTTTTTCAAATGGGCTCGTAGGGAATCGCGCGACAAGTACACTTTCGCACACTTCGGAAAGTCAAGTTTTCCGTTCATGCTTTTGCTTGTGTGGTTTTAGTTTATCTTTGTCGATGTACGCCCTGTCACATAAATCACATTTAGATGATGTTTGGTGACACCTGACATGTCGTTGCATGGATGAAGAACGTTTGGTACTGTATGTACGAATACTGCAATAAGGAGTTGTGCTTGATGAAGGCCGAGAAGCCGAATCAAAAGTTGGCGGTCTTGCATGGATAAGAACGTTTGGTACTGTATGCCGAGATACGAATCAACTGCAATAAGGAGTTGTGCTTGATGAAGGCCGAGAAGCCGAATCAAAAGTTGTGCTTCATTGGTTGGTTGTTGTTTAACGCCGCACTCAGCAGTTTTCCAGCTATATGGCGGCAGTCTGTAAATAATCGAGTCTGGACCAGACAATCCAGTGATCAACAGCATGAGCATCGATCTACACAATTGGGATTCGATGACATGTGTCAACCAAGTCAGCGAGCCTGACCACCCGATCCCGTTAGTCGCCTCTTACGATAAGCATGTGTTACTGAAGATCAATTCTAACCCGTATCTTCACGGGTAAGTTGCGCTTGAAGTGCTTTAACGGAGCTATAGCTGGGACTTCAATTTCTGATCCTATGCTAATAGAGCTTAGATCCAAACCTTAGGTCTATTTCAGTCATCTTCACTTCTACAGGTCCATGCTCATGTTTGAAACGACTGTACTATAGCGATCACTGCATGAACAAAATACTATCACTGCAAGCATTCACGGTGGGTGTACAGTCACTGGACCTCGGTCACTTCATGGTTACATATAGACAGATTATATGAATACTATGCATTCAACTGAGCAAAGACTTCACATGTATGTGGAAACGTGTATCATTAACAATGTCTGCACATAGAAATACTGTAAAATCAAACCATTTGGTATTAAACTTAGTATTTGTCTACATGAAAAGGTATGTTCTGCCGATAATCGCTGATTGCTTTCTTCATGTTTAACCTAGCAAGTTATAACTTTCTATAAAATTATAATGACCACCAGAAACTTTGCATTCGTGAAATGTTAAAATATAAATGATATTGTTCGTCTTTCACAAATGGTGACTAGATTTTCAACACCGAACTTACATTCACCGCCAAAACAAGCACGCGATCACTGCAAACGCAGGCGGACAGTCACCCTATCACTGCACCTCTGCAGGACAGTGGTTCCAGGGGGTGATTCGGTTTGGTTGGTGTAACGTCCCACTCAGCAAGGTTATAGCTATATGCTGTTGATCACTGGATTGTCTGGTCCAGACTCGATTATTTACAGACCGCTGCCATATTGCGGGAATATTGCTGAGTGCAGCGTAAAACTTTCAGCATATGATAAATGTCTAAGATTTCCCCTCACTCGCTCAGAAAATAAAAGAACTGAAAGAACCTGATTCTTTCAAATTACCTAGTTCATCTGCCATGAGGATAGATGAACTCAAATAAAAGAATCAGTTGTTCCTTAACTATCTTTGAGTAGTATATTTGGGTTTCAGTGACACCAGTGGTTCCTTGACTATATTAGAGTAGTATATATGCGTTTCAATAACACCAGACCGCCATATATCTGGAATATTGCTGAATGCTGCTTAAAACTAAACTCACTCACTCAATAACACCAGTGGTTCCTTGACTATATTTGAGTAGTATATATGGGTTTCAATAACACCAGTGGTTCCTTGACTATATTAGAGTAGTATATATGGGTTTCTATAACACCAGTGGTTCCTTGACTATATTTGAGTATATATATGGGTTTTAACACCAGTGGTTCCTTGACTATATTTGAGTAGTATATATGGGTTTCTATAACACCAGCGGTTCCTTGACTATATTTGAGTAGTATATATGGGTTTCTATAACACCAGTGGTTCCTTGACTATATTTGAGTAGTATATATGGGTTTCTATAACACCAGTGGTTCCTTGACTATATTTGAGTAGTATATATGGGTTTCTATAACACCAGTGGTTCCTTGACTATATTTGAGTAGTATATATGGGTTTCAATAACACCAGGCCTGACTTATTTGAGTAGTATATATGGGTATAACACCAGTGGTTCCTTGACTATATTTGAGTAGTATATATGGGTTTCTATAACACCAGTGGTTCCTTGACTATATTTGAGTAGTATATATGGGTTTCTATAACACCAGTGGTTCCTTGACTATATTTGAGTAGTATATATGGGTTTCTATAACACCAGTGGTTCCTTGATTATATTTGAGTAGTATATATGGGTTTCTACAACACTCAGTGGTTCCTTGATATAACACCAGTGGTTCCTTGACTATATTTGAGTAGTATATATGGGTTTCTATAACACCAGTGGTTCCTTGACTATATTTGAGTAGTATATATGGGTTTCTATAACACCAGTGGTTCCTTGACTATATTTGAGTAGTATATATGGGTTTCTATAACACCAGTGGTTCCTTGACTATATTTGAGTAGTATATATGGGTTTCAATAACACCAGACCGCCATATACCTGGAATATTGCTGAATGCTGCTTAAAACTAAACTCACTCACTCAATAACACCAGTGGTTCCTTGACTATATTTGAGTAGTATATATGGGTTTCAGTAACCCCAATGGGCCAAATACTGCTGCCACCCAATGGAAACCAAGGTAACGGATCCTTCAAATGGACACAATGAAAAGACAATGTGACAACAGCTAGTTTATTACAGTTATTCCTAATAAGGCCATGTGTTGGGGTTACAGAATCGCAACAGAATCTAACGCTTAACAGGTGAAGTTTTTTATTAATCCACTCACTTTGTTGATCTTTTAAACATATTCAACAAAAAACAGTTGGTAAATGTGAGCATCTAGTCAAACAGATTACAAGCAACAGGTTCCAAGTCATGCACAGAGAAATGAGTTCAGTAAGGTCTGTTAATACTGACTACAGCTTGTTTGATCACCGCCATTACACAAATTATAGATGAGTTCATTGTCATAGTAGCATAGCATTGGTTCAGGCTGCGGAATGTTGTCTTGGTACGACGATACTCTGCCTATCAAGAACTGGTCAGAGAGCTTGGTTAATATGCATTCTCCTTCAAGTACTTGGCGAGCTTAGTTGCACTGTCGACGGCAGCAGATCCTTTAGATGCCTCTTGACATACACAAATGAGAATGGTTTGATTTGTCAACACTGCACAGCCATTTTGAAGCTGTTCCCCCTCACTGCGGGTAAATATGATCAACTTCTCTTCAGGGTCAGATCGCAAGAACCTGAACTTCTTTTCCTTAAGATACACCCCATTAGTGTATGCATTTGATAAGTCTGTACAGTTGTTATTGCAGGCATTCACCATGGTTGTCACCTCTTTTATGTTGGGGGCAAAGTCCCCCTTGTCTGTCCACCTTGTACCGTCGAATCCATAGATGCCACCGAATATCATTTTGTGATCGGTGTATCCTGCCAGGGTATCCATGTAGCTGTCCCACGACATCCTGCTGGTCTGAAACAGAATTACCAAACTAAATCACCTTTGAAGCAGGGCTCCAGATAAGGGCCGTATCGGCGTATGTACAGGTAAAATATATACACGATACGGTAGGAAATAATTTAGAAAACGTAGCTGATACGCACCACTGCAATGGTGTACGGTCTTAGAATCATTTACTGGCGTACTTATCTGAAAAAGTACTGTTTTATTGTTTATTGACCTGTTTACACAAGGCTAGCAATGTTGTGGTGCATATATGAAACGGAACACAAGATTACTGATACGCCATTAAATTCCATTCATTACTCTGAATGTACTCTTATGTTTTTCCAGTACTCCTGCATTGAAAAAATAAGGAGTACATACTCTTGATGTTGAAAAATTATCTGGAGCCATGTTGAAGCATCTCACTTTATCATCCAAACTGTGTTCCACTGAAGATATTGCTTGTGTGGGATAAAACTAAATCTCCTAGGAGATATCGTTATGACAGTAGATTTTGTACAATGCCCATGACATGACTCACAATGCTATGATGTCATAAACTTGGTGACATCACAATGCTATTCCATCCCTGCACTTTAAGTCTAATGGTAGTACCATGTTCAGAGATGTACATTTTTCACTGAAAACTAACGATGAGTGATTTTTGATGATAAATAGAATCTCACCATCTTGTCTACTGATATCAATTCTATTATCACCCGTTGATAAAAGTTAATATCCTTGGCAAGCCTCGGACATTAGTCACTTTATCAACTCGTGTTGCTATAATTGATATCAACACACCAAAATTTGACAAAACAATGTTTGACTATATTAAGTGTTGAAATATGTCTCTTGTCCCTCTGACTTAAATAGGAGTCGATAACATATTTTTAAATAGTTGCAGTGGGTGTCTATCCACTCATAACAGTAAAAAATGTGACATTGAGAATGATGGTGTCTGTACAAAGAAGTTATGAAACAATGTTTTTTTCCCATCATATGAAACTTATAATTTCCATAACTATTTGGTTCAAGGGAGGCAACTTGTGAATTACCTCCCTTCCTTCTCAAACTGAAATGGCAGCAATGTAGGTCAAACATCCGACAACAGGACATAGCTGCTAAATATTGATTTTAGAACCAGTATTAAGAATGTGCTTAGTTAAGAGCAAATGTAATCCGCAAACTCCTCTGATAGTGTAACAATATCCTATTTTTAGAGTCTGTCTTTTGAAAAGACAAGTTATACTCACCTGCTGTGTCCTGCACCATTACTATGGAATCTATATATTTTATAAAACAAAAACAATCTAGCCTATGAAAAAGTAGGTCCAGTCTCTTTTTCAGTTCCCACCCCAACTGAGATACTCTCTCTTAGTCGCCACCCTGAGATCAGATTCGCTCTGCTCCATCTAACAGTTCCCACCTTACTGGACATCATCTCTCTCAGGTCCAAAACCCTCTGCAGATGCTCTCCCCCATTCGTGACTCACATGCTGTTTCTCTGTCACCACCCCTAACTATAATGCTCTTTCTCTGTCACCACCCCTAACTATAATGCTCTTTCTCTGTCACCATCTCACATGCTGTTTCTCTGTCACCACCCCTAACTATAATGCTTTCTCTGTCACCACCCGTAACTATAATAATGCTCTTTCTCTGTCACCCATCTCACATGCTGTTTCTCTGTCACCACCCATAACTATAATGCTCTTTCTCTGTCACCCATCTCACATGCTGTTTCTCTGTCACCCATCTCACATGCCGTTTCTCTGTCACCGCTCCTAACTATAATGCTCTTTCTGTCACCATCCCTAACTATAATGCTCTTTCTCCGTCACCCATCTCACATGCTGTTTCTGTCACCCATCTCACATGCCGTTTCTGTCACCGCTCCTAACTATAATGCTCTTTCTCTGTCACCATCCCTAACTATAATGCTCTTTCTCTGTCACTACCCCTAACTATAATGCTCTTTCTCTGTCACCCATCTCACATGCTGTTTCTGTCACCACCCTATCTCCGACACTCTTTCTCTGTCACCATCCCTAACTATAATGCTTTCTCTGTAACCATCCCTAACAATGATACTTTTTCTGTCACCACCCTCACTCAGATGCTGCTTCTCTGTCACCATCCCATCTCAGATGTTGTTTCTCTGTCATCATTCAATCTCAGATGTTGTTTCTCTGTCACCATCCCAGATGCCTCTGTCACCACACTCTCTCAGATGCTGTTTCTCTGTCACCACCCTCACTCAGATGCTGCTTCTCTGTCACCATCCCATCTCAGATGCTGTTTCTCTGTCACCATCCCATCTCAGATGCTGTTTCTCTGTCACCATCCCATCTCAGATGCTGTTTCTCTGTCACCATCCCATCTCAGATGCTGTTTCTCTGTCACCATCCCATCTCAGATGCCAGATGCCATTTCTCTGTCACCATCCACCATCCTCTGTTACCATCTCTCAGATGCTGTTTCTCTGTCACCATCCCATCTCAGATGCTGTTTCTCTGTCACCATCCAATCTCAGATGCTGTTTCTCTGTCACCATCCCATCTCAGATGCTGTTTCTCTGTCACCATCCAATCTCAGATGCTGTTTCTCTGTCACCATCCCATCTCAGATGCTGTTTCTCTGTCACCATCCAATCTCAGATGCTGTTTCTCTGTCACCATCCCATCTCAGATGCTGTTTCTCTGTCACCATCCAATCTCAGATGCTGTTTCTCTGTCACCATCCCATCTCAGATGCTGTTTCTCTGTCACCATCCCTCAGATGCTGTTTCTCTGTCACCACCCAATCTCAGATGCTGTTTCTCTGTCACCACCCAATCTCAGGTGCTCTTTCCTTATCACCATCTGAAACTCACTTATCCAACACACCACATCCATGCTTTGCAATTCCTGATTGAGCACCAGGGGTTCAGAAAAGACGGATACTCAAGATCGGCAGTTATTTTACACATCTGCATGGCTATTACATCATAATTGGACAATTTACAAAATGGAGAATTCTGGGCAAAATATGTGTCATACACTAACAAGGTGTAATTGTTTTACTTGACAGAAATACAATAGACCCAACATAAAGTTCTACTAATTTTTTTAACAAATTTATTTAACCTTTTAAATAAATAAAAAGCTGATTTTCATATATCTGAAACAGTTTGGTTTCTTTATGAAATATGGGACCGTTCATGTATTACAGAAAGGAACTTGAGGTTTTACTAGGTGCAGTGATACACTTATTGACCCTTACATAATACCTGCCATACTTTTGGGGACGTTACATGGTCTTGACCCTCCCTACATGCATGTATCAGAATTTCTTACCCTTCCTTGGACATTTACAATTAGATTGATATGTTGTATTGGTACAAGAAGAGTGATGAGGCTTTTCAATATTTAATCTGAATAACTTTCTTGTTTTAATAAATATGCAAAAGTTATATTATTGAAAGAGAGTGATATTCCAGCTACATGGCGGCGGTCTGTAAATAATCATGCCTGGACCAGACAATCCAGTGATCAACAGCATGAGCATCGATCTACACAATTGGGACATGGAGAGAGCAGCTGTCATGGTTTTCAAACTTCATAGACTTTGTGTGCCCAACATGGGGGTAATGTGACTCTAAACAATTATCAAGACATAATACCTGTTTGCATACATCTACACAAATTATTTACAACAGGGCCCACAATATCACCAATACAGTATCTACCCAATAAAGACTTGTCATTTTCAAATGGGGACCTGCCAGTTTCGATCATATTATGGCTTGCATGTGATATGACTGAAGAGCTGGGCCTATGTTTTTAAAAATGTTAATCAGCAAGCCAACCAAATGAATCTTCGCAATTTATCAATGTGGTTTCTCTAGTTTTTCTGTCGAAGTTCAGAAATTGTTCATCATCACCAGCCAGTATAATAAGGCTTGGCAGTGTAGAAATGTGGACCTACATGTTTTGGTCACCTTACATGAGTGGGCCCACTTTTTAAAACAATATTATCAGTACTACACCAACCAGATACTACACCTGGTGAATATGAAATGTTCTCTCTGACTACTATCATTTTTAGAAAATATGAAACGAGAGGCAATATATGATTGCTCTCGTCTCAACACACTCAAGTAGAACACAAAGTATCAAAATCACTTGCTACTTTTAATATTTTCTTTTAAAAATTAAAAAAACAAAAAAAACTCACCATATTTGAAATAAACCGTACAAATCACTTCCTTTCACCCTCTTCCACTTTATCTCACATTGCTGTTCTCAAATTTCAACCTAAACCTTTCATGACATGTTCAAACACTTTTAAAGCCCACCCCTTCATGAAATGTTTGTTCTCACCCTTCAACCCCAACCATTCATTACATGCTCTCTCCTCCAATCCATCACGACTGGCTTGTTGTCAAATCTCAGACCCACACCTTCATGAACTGCTTGATGTCATCCCCCATCTTCATGAAACGCTTGTTCACACCCAACCCCCATCTTCATGAAACGCTTGTTCACACCCAACCCCCATCTTCATGAAACGCTTGTTCACACCCAACCCCCATCTTCATGAAACCCTTGTTCACAGCCAACCCCCATCTTCATGAAACGCTTGTTCACAGCCAACCCCCATCTTCATGAAACCCTTGTTCACAGCCAACCCCCATCTTCATGAAACGCTTGTTCACAGCCAACCCCCATCTTCATGAAACGCTTGTTCACAGCCAACCCCCATCTTCATGAAACCCTTGTTCACAGCCAACCCCCATCTTCATGAAACGCTTGTTCACAGCCAACCCCCATCTTCATGAAACGCTTGTTCACAGCCAACCCCCATCTTCATGAAACGCTTGATGTCACCCCCCATCCCATCTTCATGAAACCCTTGATCTCACCCCCCATGAAGGCCCCCACATGAAATACGTGTACCAAACCCACCCCTTCAAGACATATGTACCACAGTCCCAACACTTTATGACATGCTCTCACACCTCAACCATACCCATTTAAGACATGCTTGTCCTCTAGTGGTGTGACAATTCATCGATACGCATCGATCCATGGGCCACCGATACAGTGAATCGATACAAAGTTTTACATTGTCGTATATCCTGATACGATACTTTAAAGGGGACACAATATATCAATGTTTAACTTTGAATATTGCCAAATTGTCAAGAAAAAAGACTCACTTTTGTTGGATGATTAAAACATTTGCTTACTTATATTCCCTTCATAAGTTAACGTTTTCTCGGAAATTCTTGCGTCAAGAACTGTGTCAGACATAGCGCTCCCATGTTGTTAACATTCACAAAGTCTGTGTATAAACATAATTATCTCTTTTCCTAATGAACATTGAACAACGCTGGCCGAATTTGACAAAATACTTTAAAATGGTTTTGTTTTGATCTTAAGGGATTTCATAGTTGATGTTAGCATTAAAGATTTTAGTATCGTGATACCTATTGTATCGTCACCCTTATATCAGGATTCATATTGTATCGCAGTTTCAGTGCACAATAATTTAGGCAATATATCGTTGTGACTAATATTTTAGCATCCTGATGTATCGTATTGCATGTTGTATGCCAATACCAGCACTATTGTCCTCACACCTCAGCAACATCCCTTCATGACAAGCTCCTTCTCACATCTCAACCCAACCTCTCACTCACTTCAATCATCAGGGGCGTATCTGAGCCAGTTATTATGTGTAGGCAAAACGTTTAGAGTGCAATTATACGTACATATCCATGCTTTCAGCATGTTGAAATACATTCACCTGTAACATTTTTCTTTCAAATTTAACATTTACTTTATTTAATTTTTTTTTTACAAAATTATGTGTAGGCAATTGCCTTTTTGCCTATATGGCAGCTACGCCCTTCATCATTCCACATAGAGAACACACACGGCCCTTCCCATCCGAGTCCCTGTTATATACGCCTGAAATAACAGGGCCAATGCATTGAGAGCAATCCCGGGTCATGTTGACCTTTGACCCGAACTGCGCGGTGTCTGCCTTCACCTAAATAGTCCAGTGTTCAGTGGGTTTTTTTGTAGGTTTTCGTCAAACTACATGTTGTTTTATCGTCTCTTTTCCTATAAGTATTAGTCCACAGCCATGTTTAAAAAAATGCTGAATCAACGGTAGCCATTAATAAAACCATGTGACCAATCCAAGTGTCCGAACCCGACCACTTTGCCGGCATTTTCACAATGACACCGACCGCCATGTTGATTCCAATGTCTAATAACTAACTACTCCCTGGGTATTGCTGAAATCCCGAAAATTCTCGACGCAATAAGAAGCATATCGTTTTGTAACAGAGTTTGATCCCCCGACTTTCCATTTTGAGACACGAGTTAGCGAACAGTCGCCATGGCGGCCAACGCCCGATAATGTGATAACTCCACGCCGAACCCGGCAAGTCCTCAAAACGCTCTTTCACGACTTCTCGTTCAACAAACACGCTGCAAACAACATTCCCATCACCATATAGTGTCCAAATACGACAACAATACGTTTAAAATCTACACATAGATTCACAGACAAGCGTACTCACTTCGGGCGTTCTGCCGGCTGGGTAAAAAGGAAGCGATGTGAGCGGGAATGCGTGCACCGGTCGGTCACCAATCGATAACGACATTGTACGGTGTAGGGTTGTACATCTCGTGCTCAGGCTCTGATTCAGCTTGATCGATAGAGACAACTCACTCCACATGTACACTTACACTGACTCACAACACTGCTATGAGTAAACATGAAGGAGGTGCAATTCTTCTTTGCGACTTGTCATGATAGAAATCCGGGTTGCATTTAGATATCAGACGGGAGTTGCAAACGCAAACTTCGCTGTACTTAACACTGGCCTCCGTGTTTTCAGACACCGGGATTCAACACAAGTGTTTTAGACTGACTGACTGACTATGGTTTTACGCCGTTTTTAACAATATTGTAGCAATATCACTGCAGGGGACACCAGAAATGGGCTTCATAAATTGTACCCATGTGGGGAATCGACCCCGGGCCTTCGACGTGACGTGCGAACGCTTTAACCACTAGGCTACCCCACCGCCCCAAGTGTTTTAGAGACGCACAGTGAATATCCACAGAACTCGTCTCCTGTTGAAAGACAATATGGTGTTTTTTTTATATCTTAATAGGGAAATCCTACAGAAACCATGCAGATATTACAAAAACACTGTTGTATACAAATCTCAAACGAACAGAGCTAGTGTACCGGTAACTGGACTTTGTAGAAACTGGTATGTTTGTGTTTAATGGGAATCCAATGTTGTGTTTAATAGAAACCTTTGCAGTTGCAGGTGCTGGGGTTTTGAAATATCAGACGCCTTGCAAACATGTCTGATGCGGATTAATGCACTTTAATGCACTGGAGTGTAGGTTCAATCGAGTGAGTGTGGTTTTACGCCGCTTTTAACAATATTCCTGCTATATTACGACAAGGGACACCAGAAATGGGCTGTAGGGAATTGAACCCGGGAATTCCGCATGACAAACGACCGCTGAAACCATTCGGCTACCCCAACGCAGGTTTAAACTAATAAATTGTTTTCGGAAAATACCTCGAGATATAGTGGATGGAAGGGTTTATTAATATAATCACATCAGAGACTTTACATATTCAAAATATTTCAAATTGATGAAAATATGAGGTTTAGCAAAAGTATTATATACTTATTCTTTAATTAGAGCACATTTTCTTTCGGATACGGCTTATAAAGATTACACATTATACACAGACGTGCAAATTGAAATACAGAGAAACACGTAGAAAATGTTCAATGACGTTCATAGCATTCACGTTTATCCATAACGGAATGTGGTAGACTATCACCAGTTTGTTTCCAAACAGTGTTGTTCTTCTTAACATTCCAACATAACACATCAATAGTCTACAGATTGTAAGTAATCCGCCATCTTGCACGCTCCTGTCGACGCAGCACTTCCCTTTCCTTCTTCTTCACATACACAGATTAGAATTGTCTGTTTGGTCAGAATGGCAAATCCGTTATGGAGCTTTTCATTCTCACTGCGGGTGAATGTAACGCTCTTTTCCTCACTATCTGACCTCAAGAACTTAAACTTTTTACCAGCCAGGTAGATTCCTGAACCTTGCGCTTTGCCAAGTTCACTGCCATTATGGGAGCAGACCTTGATCGCGAAAAGTACTTCTTCCTGTGAAACTTCCATGGCCCCCTTGCTGGCCCATTTGTTGCCGTCTAGGCCGTTGATAGCACCATAAAACATCTTGTCACCCGTGTAGGAACCCATTGTCTTAACTTGTTCATCCCACGACATCTTGACTGTACAAAGAAAAAGAAAACAGGTAGACAACAAGAATACAAACAACAACAATAATACCAAACAACAACAATAATACCAAACAAGAAAATAATAATACCAAACAAAAATAATAATACCAAACAATAATAAGACTAAATAATCTTAAACACGTTTAAGCTTATGCTACCAATACAAAAAAAAGACAAAACTGATTCGCTAGCAAGTATAACAGTTTGAATTGTGGTGTACATATCTGCAAATCCTGATGGCTCTCGTAAGAAACTCTATGGGTAATGTTGAAATACATAACGTGAAAATTTGTTAATATGATGTCCAGAGAAATAAGTCATGGGCAGATGCCACACACACACACACACACACACACACACACACACACACACAGACACACACAGAGATTATATCCAGTATTCGTGAATATTATCTACAGTATAACTGAACTATCAAAATCACAAAGGTGTTTATGTGCTTTTGAGGGCTAGGTAACCAATGGTGACAACACCACAATCTACTATCGGAGTGAGTGAGTGTATTTAGTTTTACGCCGCTTTCAGCAATATTCCAGCAATATCATGGCGGGAGACACCAAAAATGGGCTTCACACATTGTACCCATGTGGGGAATCGAACCCGGGGAATCGCCGTGGCGAGCGAACGCTTAAACCACTAGGCTACCCCACCGCCCCATCAACTATCAGAACGATTGCGATCTTCAATATAAACGCAACTGTTTAACGTTAAAAAATTATATTAAGTGCGCCCGCATATTTCCTGAGTCAAAATTGCCCTCAGTAAAGAGTTAGATACTCTCTCGGATATGTGTACACGTGCTAAAGACGGAACCCAGTTCAACTGGTGCAGGCAACACGAACGCGCTATAGTTTGTTTAAAGCACAGTCAATAAGCTTCGCCAGAACAAAACCGGTTCCCCTAATTACTCTCCCGTCCACCAAATTGAGCTCCTTCACTTAACACCGTGGTAAACGGCCCTTCGTTTGAAACTAGCTCCTAAGACTCGTGCATACTTTATTCAAATGTCTGCACTCAACCATAACTCAAGGAGCCAACTATGCACTTCTTCAACGAACGATATATACTAAATATTCTCAAAAGAAATATCTTGACGTATTTTGTTCCATGAATATGAAAATATATATAAACGGTGGAAGAGGGGCGAAGGGTATATAGTCTTTCCATTTCGTTTCTCCAAAGCTCTAAGTCGACACAACATAATTAAGTAATATTAATAAACGACTAAAGCGTTAAATTAATGCCCCGGGATACCTCACCATTTTGAGCGAGTGAGCGAGTAAGGTTTTACGCCGCTTTTAGCAATATTCCAGCAATATCACGGAGGGGGACACCAGAAATGGGCTTCACACATAGTACCCATGCATGTGGGGAATCGAACCCGGGTCTTCAGCATGACGAGCGGACACTTTACCAACTTGGCTACCCCACGCCCCTTTTACCATAAATAACATTTGATGATTAAACCAAACACTTCCAAGGCCATTGGTTCAATAACACACAATGTACTGGAGCTGTTAACTTCAACGAGCAGGAAATATTTTGTTCTTATCACCATGTGACCACATATTTCACTAGATATTTAAAACAATCTTCGAACACGGCACATTACAAGTCAAAGTAAATGAATTTCGGTCGTTCTCATAAAAGGCCAAGGAAAACAGAAGCGAGGGGCCAAATGTACATATACAGACAATCTATGTATTATATCATGTCTACCGAAAAACGCATGTAAACCATATAATAATCCGCTGGGCCCTGTCTCTTTTGCCGCGAAATATTGCCTGATCGCATAATGACGATGCGCTTTGAGAGCCGGGAACCAGCCTATGTTCAAACGGAGAAATACATATAAAATAAACGTTTGCTTTTAGTACGTATTGGGGATCTAATATACACATGCCATTCATTATTCAGTTGAAAATGTATAAATGTCATTTCTATTCAAATAAAATCAAACTGTCGCAAATCTAACAAATTGGCTTCGAGGCTGTAACTTCGATGTCATTCGTTACAGACAGGAAGTAGGCGTTACTGTGAGTAATGTCCGTATAGCGAGGAGGACATGTAGAGGTGACGGGGCAAGGCCGGTACTGGAGGTCGGTGCGGAGATAAGCGTACATTCAGTAAGCATGCGAGTCAGCACATCATGGTGTGAGGGGTCAAATGATTAATAAGCGCTCATGACATCATTCTGACTGCAGAGAGAGGTTTCGTCTCGCGCATCATACTCATGGCGAGTCTAACTGAAGAAAATGAGCCACGGCCCCGGGCGAATAATAAGGACATCATTCATCAACTGCCATTCTAATGACATTCGTCACATACTAAATAGGCGTGGATAGCTCAGTTATAAGATCTAATTGAAATGGTTAATGGTCATTTGTGGTCAGCCTCGGACGACAGGGCGTGGCCTGCCGTATTCAATACATGGGGTATAACAAGTGGATGTCGTTTCAAAACGACATCCCTCACTACCCTAAAAGTATTACACACATTTTCCTGTCCGGTTGTGTTCTTTAGATGTACAAATACTGAATACGAATATGACGTAACTTATGTATGAAAATAGGAAATATATCTACCGATTAATTTAGGTTAATAACAACAGCAGTAGAAAGCAATAGCCATATTTACTTTCTCCATATGGGTTACATCAACAGTTATCTCAATAACAAAGGTTGATGTCTGAAATACATAACACAATGGGCTGTGTACAGTTGTCAGAAAATCAAGATAAATGTCATAAACTGACAAACTGAGTCAAGTTTTGTTTGATATACAAATCAGCCATGCCCACTACCTCAGACCATCATTAAATCCTTACAAACATTCTCTAGAATGTCCAGAGAAGAAATTGATAACTGCTTCAGGAAGCAAATGTGAACTTATTTCATCAAATATATTACTACTAGCTTTTGAGTATGATCGGTGTCCATGGGTGTTAATAACGTCTCGGGAGGGACGGAAGCATATCTATTTCATTGTTTAATGACAACGTGCTTGTTTAATTATTATATCTCATACAAATGTAGATAGATATTCGAAACAAGTTGTGTATACGTGTAATTGTTTTGGAACAGTTCAAGCGACGGGTAGCCTTGAATACTTCTAATGGTAAACCAGGATATATATTGATGACAAGCAGCTTACAAAAATGGACGAGAGTTGCTTATGAAAGAGACGCAGTTGTGAAATAGGTTAGACGGGCATTTAATAGTCTCCGCGCTACCAAGTGACTGGGATACTCCCACACAGTGACATGGCGACAGAATGTTCGAGAATACTCACATGTAACTTCTCGACGCTAATGTCAGACACCAAACAGACTACACAGAAGACCTCGACTAAACAGGAACACGAATGCTTGGTGAATATTACAAATCGAATCTAACATCCTTGTTATCACGTGACAGTTGCGGGGTGGTGGCCGGCAACCATGATGTCTACGTAATGGTGGAGTATATCGCGATATGTAGGCAGGTGTCGCGTGTACATATCGATAATGAGTAAAAATTACTGATTCACTGAAACCATGCTTATTACTGACACTCGTATGAGATATCTGTACGTTTTAAGTTGCTGTCTATTTGAAACGACACTTGTCGAGGCTACAGGTGTGTTAGGCGACTGATTGAGGACAGGTGCTGTGTTGTCACTTTGTCTAATCGTAGACACCCTCAAACACCTGCAGTTCGATACTGAGGGGAAGACAGCTTTAATTAAGGGTTGTAAAGAGTACTCACGTGTATAAGAAAGGCTTTCTGCTTCCTAAGAGGTGATACGTGGTGTGGCTGATATTTTCCGTCCCACCGATTTGGTCTGACCACTCTGTTCAGCGCACGCTCTCGTGTGACCCAGATTCACAGTGCGAGATCCTCGCGGACCAGTCTTATCTGCGATCCGTGTCGACACCGCCTGCTTGCGATAGGTCGACTGTGCCCGCCTCCAGCGGAAAATCAAACTGCTGAAAGTGAAAGATGGCTCATGTATTACGTTTGGGTCTCAATTCCATTTCGTAATTTGTTAGTGATATAACGATAATTAATCGCGTGTCTCCACTTGCGACCCGAGGGTGTTTGCTTGGAATCAGGAGGGTGGACAGACGACTGATGGTGTGTTGACAGTCGAGGGTCTGGACATTCGCGGCGACACACGGACACACCTCCCGGATCAATGTCTGCAAATACGCTGACTGTTGAATACACCTCTGTTCTACGAAACTACGACACTACTATAATCCTGCACTAATGACAAGTGTGAAGCTTGCTGGATAGTCTGAGTTATTTGTCATAGCATCTCTTAGACTAACATCAAGTCTCAGGCATCTACATATTTTACAGAAAAAACGGTGTCTAAATTATCGTAATAAAACATGATAAAAAGGAGCAATAGGACTTTCTTCATTTTCAGGTAAAGAACTCGGTATTCTAGACTTGCATGGGCTAAATTGGGTATATTTGTTTCAGGGTCTGTGAGGCAGACTACCATAGCTGTTTATTTATATCTGCCACATTTTCTAGACTTGCATTCGAGAATATGAGCTGTATTGGGCTTATATCTGAGGAAGACTACCACAGCTATCTAGACTTGCCACATATTCTGGACTTGCATGGGCTGTATTTGGGTATATTTGTTTGAGGGTCAGTGAGGCAGACTGCCACAGCTGTATAAACTTGCCACATATTCTGGACTTGCATGGGCTGTATTTGCTATATGTGTTTCAGCGTCAGTGAGGCAGACTTCCACATGGGTACAGCTATCTAGACTTGCCACATATTCTGGACTTGCATGGCCTGTATTTGGGTATATTTGTTTGAGGGCGTACTGCCACAGCTATCTCTGACTTTATTCTGGACTTGCATGGGCTGTATTTGGGTATATTTGTTTGAGGGTCAGTGAGGCAGACTGCCACAGCTGTCTAAACTTGCCACATATTCTGGACTTGCATGGGCTGTATTTGGGTATATTTGTTTGAGGGTCAGTGAGGCAGACTACCACAGCTATCTAGACTTGCCACATATTCTGGACTTGCATGGGCTGTATTTGGGTATATTTGTTTGAGGGTCAGTGAGGACTGCCACAGCTATCTAGACTTGCACATATTCTGGACTTGCATGGGCTGTATTTGGGTATATTTGTTTGAGGTCAGTGAGGCAGACTGCTAGACACATATTCTGGACTTGCATGGGCTGTATTTGGGTATATTTGTTTGAGGGTCAGTGAGGCAGACTACCACAGCTATCTAGACTTGCCACATATTCTGGACTTGCATGGGCTGTATTTGGGTATATTTGTTTGAGGGTCAGTGAGGCAGACTGTTGGACTGATGGGCTCATTTGGGTGAGGGTCAGACTGAGGCCTACAGCTATCTAGACTTGCCACATATTCTGGACTTGCATGGGCTGTTGGGTATATTTGGGTATATTTGTTTGAGGGTCAGTGTTTGAGGGTCAGACTACCATAGCTATCTAGACTTGCCACATATTCTGGATCTAGACTTGCCACATATTTTGAGGGTCTGGGGACTTGCATGGGCTGTATTGCATGGGCTGTATATATATTGTTTGAGGGTCAGTGAGGGAGACTGCCACAGCTATCTAGGCACTTGCCACATATTCTGGACTTGCATGGGCTGTATTTGGGTATATTTGTTTGAGGGTCAGTGAGGCAGACTGCCACAGCTATCTAGACTTGCCACATATTCTGGACTTGCATGGGCTGTATTTGGGTATATTTGTTTGAGGGTCAGTGAGGCAGACTACCACAGTTATCTAGACTTGCCACATATTCTGTACTTGCATGGGCTGTATTTGGTATATGTGTTTGAGGGTCAGTGAGGCAGACTGCCACAGCTATCTAGACTTGCCACATATTCTGGACTTGCATGGGCTGTATTTGGGTATATTTGTTTGAGGGTCAGTGAGGCAGACTGCCACAGCTATCTAGACTTGCCACATATTCTGTACTTGCATGGGCTGTATTTGGGTATATTTGTTTGAGGGTCAGTGAGGGAGACTACCACAGCTATCTAGACTTGCCACATATTCTGGACTTGCATGGGCTGTATTTGGGTATATTTGTTTGAGGGTCAGTGAGGGAGACTTCCACAGCTATCTAGACTTGCCACATATTCTGGACTTGCATGGGCTGTATTTGGGTATATTTGTTTGAGGGTCAGTGAGGGAGACTTCCACAGCTATCTAGACTTGCCACATATTCTGGACTTGCATGGGCTGTATTTGGGTATATTTGTTTCAGGGTCAGTGAGGGAGACTACCACAGCTATCTAGACTTGCCACATATTCTGGACTTGCATGGGCTGTATTTGGGTATATGTGTTTCAGGGTCAGTGAGGCAGACTTCCACAGCTATCTAGACTTGCCACATATTCTGGACTTGCATGGGCTGTATTGGGTATATATGTATTTCAGGGTCTGCAGCTGTGCAGGGTCTCACGCTACGCGTTCGGTTTTAAATGAAATATAGAGTTGTATTATTTTCGTTATATCCCTCTGATTTTATAACACAGTATGTTTATTTACTGAACATGCTACTTGATGTTCTCTTGACCTGTTGCTTTGAATCTGTCAGAATGGGTATCCATGGGTAACACAACAAATAAGCTTCGTACGCTGGGGCTTAAACATCGAGACCTGTGAAGATCCGGGGTAGAATAGGTCTTCAGCAACCCATGTGCTTGCCCTAAAGGCGACTATGCTTGTCGTAAGAGGCGACTAACGGGATCGGCTGCTCAGGCTCGCTGACTTGGCTTGACACATCACCATATAGCTGGGATATTGCTGAGTGCGGCGTAAAACTAAACTCACTCACTCACTCATTTGACAAGCCAGGAAACATAATTAGGGAGAGACTTGGCACACTTCAGTTGTGAATAACAGATTTCCTAAAATTAGCATTGGTCATGACAGCATGGACTGCATTCATTCAAATGTTGATTTTGTTACATGCAGGAGGACTGTGTTTGGTACGTTGGCTTGTCACGTAGAAGAGAAATATTATGAAATTATAAATTTCTTTAGAAATCGTTGCTGTAGATGTCCCAAGTTTAGAACTCGCCATTAAATCGAAATCTATCGTTATTTTAGACCACAGCGTTTAGCAGAACAGTCGCCAGAGAAAACGCTGTACTGTTTATATTACAAATTACTTTAGAACGCATGTGGTACAACAGAAAGACTACAGAATCATAAACTCTCAGTGCCTAAGAAGTGAGTGAATGAGTTTAGTTTTACGCCACACTCAGCAATATACCAGCTTTATGGCGGCGGTCTGTAAATAATCGAGTCTGGATCCAGTGATCAACATCATGAGCATCGATTTATGCAGTTGGGAACCGATGACATGTGTCAACCAAGTCAGCGAGCCTAACCACCCGATCCCGTTAGTCGCCTCTTACGACAAGCATGGGTTACTGCAGATCAATTCTAACCCGGATCTTCACGGGTCCAGTGCCAAAGAAAACGTAAAATAAAGAACATAATCCTTATTTTAGAACATATAAAATATATTTAGTAAATCATTGCCCAATAGATAGAACGTTGTTTCAGAACTCATCATGTAAACATCAATGCTGTTACAATACTAATTATGTAGGAACATGTGGCGCTAAAAGTATAATTATTTTGCAATACGTTGAACAGAAATACAAAATTATGAGTTATATGAGAAAACGTACCATTTATAATTATTTTACATGGCATTGTGAGCTGAACCATACCAGCAAACCAGTTTTATACACAGGTTTTTGAACACATCACCACATTCACGTGTCACATTTCAAATGATGTACAGGTATTTCATGCATTATCAGCTGGTGCAGAGAGTACAGTTGTATGGCTGAATCGTTGTTCAACCATCTGGGTTGTGCACGTGACCCGCGGCTGAAAGATGTGTGCCGCATTGTGCCGCGCAGCAGCTGTCTACAGCTACAGCGACGACCACAATACCGTAATGATTCATTGTACTGATTTGCCTATATAATTCTATACGGTCCTGCGTGTTATATGCACTTCAGCATATAAGTGAATGAATGTATATTTACGCCGCAGTCGGCAATAATCCAGCTATATGGTGGCAGTCTGTAAATAATCGAGTCTGTACCTGACAATCCAGACTGAGCATCGATCTGCGCAATTGGGAACCAATGACATGCGTCAACCAAGTCAGCGAGCCTGACCACCCGATCCCGTTAGTCGCCTCTTACGACAAGCGTGGGTTACTGAAGGTTCATTCTAACCCGGACTTTCATGGGTATTCAGCATATAACGTAAACGAATTTAGATGCGGAGGTTCCAAATTTGTTCTTATGTAGTATATTTCTGTATCGCACTGATTTATGGCCTCTATTTAGACAATGAGTGTGTCACGTCATGGTGATAATGTGATGATATTTTCCGATGGCTGTAATTCTGCAAAATGATTCGGGGGACGTGGTAACTCTGAATACTTCAGTTAAATATGATCTTTGTCTTTGTTGCGGCAACACTGGACAAATACCGTGCCAGTCGGCTCAGAGAAGTTAATATCGCAATAGTTATTTATCAAATTAGAACAATACTTATCGGGTAACATCAGCATGCGTCAGATGCAATTCCCTAGTTTGACTTCCTAACAAAACGCTACCACAATAATCGAATTAAATCGCATAAAAAGATTTGATGTAGTATATTATCTAAGAGAGTCGTCATTTTGAAGTTAGTGAGTGAGTGATTAAGGTTTTACGTCGCTTTTAGCAATATTCCAGCAATATCACGGCGGGGAGACACCAGAAAAGGGCTCCACACATTGTGCCCATGTGGGAAATCGAACCCGGGTCTTCGGCGCGACGAGCAAACGCCATAATCACTTGGCTACCCCACCGCCCCCTATTTATATTTAAACG